TGTGTGCGCTGCTGGGATTAAGGGGGTGTGATTACTAAATAAACCCACTGATTGGTCTAGCATAGGTGTGAGCATGGAAATCGAGAAGGCGCAACTGCGCATGAGTGCTACCTGCAATAAGGGCGTATAGCCTGGACAGGAGGTGAGGGACAGAAGGAGGCCGGGCTGCTCCATGCTGCTCAGTGCTCTGCTATTTCCACCTGTGCTGCCTTGGACCTCCTGTGGACGGCTTCTCCCTTGCAGTCCGCCTGCCACGCCCCTTGCCTGGGGGCCAGCCAACTATAAAGTGAAACTTGTATGAAGTGTGAGCCGAGATAAACATTTCCTCCTTTAGCTGTGGGTGTCAGGCATCTTGCCTCATCATGTGAAAACCCGGGGCAGAGGGAAAAGCCCGTATCAGCCAGCTCAGAGCACATCCCTGAAAAGCAGACGCTGACTCCGGAGGCCTCCATACGGAGCAGTGCACTCTCCACTACAGTCAAGCTGCAAGCCTCACCACAAAACACAAACGAAAAATGAAAACATGAGGCAGCAGGCAACGCCACGTCTCCGAGCACTTCCAACTCCACCGAAGCTGATCCACGGCGCACTGGGGGAGGGCGGGGGCAGAGTCAGAAACCACAGAGCGAATTACTTGGAAGGAGGATGACACAGGACGTGGTAGTGAGCCCGCGGCAAGGGGGCTGCAGTGAGCTGCCTGTGTCACTGAAAGCTCTGAAAGGTTCACAATCTCTGCCACGGGAGAAAACAGATCAGTAAGGCGCCTGCCTGGCGAGCTGAAAGAAGATTAACTAAACAGATGACACAAACCAAACAATAAGCAAGCTTAGGGAAGATGCAAAGAAAAAGCTAGCTGAAGTAAACAAAATGATACAAAACATGCATGTCCGTTTTAGAGGACTGAAAGTCCACGAAAAGATACCAAACAAAATTCAGCTGAAAGTATGGGCAGTAGAAGCAACTAATTTAGAGACTCAGTATCAGAACTAAAGCGTTCAGAGAACATGAAAAATGGACCCAGTAACTGCTGGATGATACAAAGACTAAGATTAAGTGGAATTAGTGGAAAATGAGAAGACAGCAGAGATGACACTTTATTTTTATTTATTTATTTTTTGGCGGAACTGGGGATTGAACTCAGACCCTTGCACTCGCCAGGGAAGTGCTTATTCCACTGAGCCATCTCCCTGGCCCCTAAAGATGACACTTTAAAAAAAGGTTTTTATAGATGTAATAGCAGAAAACTTCTGAAATATGGGGAAGGAATTTAAAATACAGATGAATGACATATACAGAAGACCAAATGAGGGGTTGGCCAAGTACCACAGTGGAGTAAAGTGCCTGCAAGCAGGGGCAGTGGCTGGAGGTTCAATCCCTGGGCCTGTTGTGCTGGCCCCACCCTGGGGGCACGCTGAGATGGCACTTGAGACTGGGTGTGGTGGCGCATGCCTGTAATCCCAGCTCTTGGGAGGCTATAAAAAGGCAGATCACTTTGAGTCCAATCTAGTAGTAAGACCCTGAACACCCTGTAGACCCTTCCCTAAAATACACACACACACACACACACACACACACACACACACACAAAAGAAGACCAAATGATAAAGAACACTAAAGGAAATTCATGATTACTAAACCAGCACTCCATCCGGTTCCGCCAAAAAAAAAACAAACAAACAAAAAAAAAAAAAAAACAAAAAAAAAACCTAAACCAGCGCTCCAAAAACTTCTCAAGGATATCCTAGAAAGAAACAATGAAGTGAATAGTGCCAAAAGGTTTATCAGAATGAACACAATAGGGAGGGTGAGCAATTAAACAGAGAAGAAAGGAAGGGAATCAGCAACAAGAAAACAATGCAACGGCAGGAGTAACTTAACAGTATTCCATGCAATAGGAGCCTGCAGAGAAGCAGGAGCACAGTATCTGTTTTCCAGATGAAGGAGACATTAAGCCAAAGCTGATCAAAAGAGGCAAAGAAGGTCAGCATGTACAGGTTAAGGAAGAGATAACAAATACAAACATGTATGTGCTGAACAACTCTATCTATCTATCTATCTATCTATCTATCTATCTATCTATCTATCTATCTATCTATCTATCATCTATCTATCTATCTTTTTGGTGGAACTGGGAATTGAACTTAGGCCCTGTGCTTGCCAGGCAAGTGCTTATTCTACTGAGCCATCTCCCCAGCCCCCACCAACTTCATAAAACTAACACTGCTAGACATAAAAGGTCAGATAAACACCAACACATATAATGGGGAGACCTCAATATCCTTCTATCATAAATAGATCAAGAGGGCTGGCCAGATAGCTCAGTGGATTAAAGCGCCTGCTTACGCAGGTACAGGGACCGGGGTTGGACCCCAGCATGCAGTGCCAGCCCTGCTTCAGGGGCACATTGAGACAGTGATTGAGATTGGGCATGGTGGCACACACCTGTAATCCCAGCACTTGGGAGGCTGACAACAGGAGAATCACTACGAGTCTGATCTGTGTAATGAGACCCTGTACTAAATATTAAATAAATACGCAGAGACAAAAAACAAAAAACAAAGAAATATCAGAGCTGAATCAAACCTTTGAACAAAAAAACTGAACAGATATCTACAGTGTTCTATCTTCCTTCAACTTGGGCCCTTGCACTTGCCACGCAGGTGCTTATACCACTGAGCTATCACCCTGGAACCTACAGTGTTCTCCTTCACAGAATATACATTCTTCTCAAAAGCACATGGAACTTTCTCCAGAGTAGATCGCACATTAGCCAATCAAGCATGCTTAAGTAAGTACAAAAGCGTGGAACTTAAGCAGCACACTCTGGAAGAACCCATGGGTAGAGAAAATGTAAGGAAGAAGACAGTCCCTAAAATCAGTAATGCTAGCGAACAAGAAGCACTGCCGGGACACAACGAAAGCAGTGCTGAGAGGGGGGCTGATGGCAGTGAATGCTATCAGGAGGGTGAGCCCAAAGAAGTAATCTCATGACATGCCTGCCACAAGGTCCTAGAAAACAAGAACAATCCAAATCCAAAACTGGCACAAGAAAAAAAAAAACTATAAAGTCTAGAACAGAAATCAATGAAATTAAAACTAAAAAAAAAAAATCAAAGAATCAGTGAAGCTAATGCAGGATTACCCAGGGCCTGAGTCCAGCATAGGCTACACAGTGAGTTCAAGGCTGGCCTGAACTATACAGCAAGACCTTGTCTCAAAATTTAAAAAAAAAAAAAAAAAAAGAAAGAAAAAAGAAAAAGAAGCAATAAATCAAAGAGCTGGTTCTTAAAAGAATAAGCAAAATTGGACTGGGTGTGGTGGCACATACCTGTAGTCCCAGCCTCAGAAGGCTGAGGCAGGAGGCTCACTGGGAGTTCAAGACCAGCCTGGGCTACAAAGTGAGCTCAGGGCCTGAAATGCATAATGAGACCCTGTCTCAAAAAGACAAACAGGGGCCGAGGAGACAGCTCAGCAGAATACGTGCTTGCCTAGCAAGTGCAAGGGCCTGAGTTCAATTCTTGGTTCCACCAAAACATCAAGTTCATCATTCATGTAGATGAAAAGACAAAGAATAGATACACAGACAACCTCACCTAAAGAGGAAAGTCCAAATCAATGGAACCAGAAATGAAAAACATACTGCCAAAATCTAGAAAACTATTAGCAGCTACTTCACAAACCTGTACACCAATAGATTTAGGAATTTAGAAGAAGTGGCTAGATTCCTAGATACGTAACCAAAAGTGAGCGAAGATAATATAAAAATCCTGAATAAACTAATAAAAGGGAATGAAATTGAGGCAGCAATAAAAACCCTACCAATTAAGAAAAGCCCAGAGCCTCATGCATCCACTGCTGAATTCTACAAGCACTTCAGGGAAGATCAAACATCAGTTCTCAGCTTTTTAAAGCAATTGAAAGGGAAGCAGTTCTCCCAAGGTCATTCCTGGAGGCTGCCACGAGCCCGATTCCAAAACCAGCCGGGGGCCCAACCCAAGGGGAACCACAGGCCAGTCTCTAAAGAACACAGCTGCAAAACTCAACAGGTCTGGGCAAAAGGAACATACACACTACCGAGACGGCGTCACCCCAGGAACGTCCAGATGGTTCAGTGCACACAAACCAATGACTGAAATACACTCTAGGAACAGCATCAAGGACAAAACCAAGGAATCACCTCAACATACATAGAAAAAGCTTTTGACAAACCACAACATGATACGAAAACTCAAAGTCCACCTTTGGCTTCTTTAAGATGGCTGAAGGAAGTGAAAACGTACAACCCTGACCTAAGTGGGTAACGAAGCATTTTCCCAAATACACATCTATATTAACTCAGTTTTTCCCTGGTGATTTAAAGACTGAATTGTGTCATTAAACAGGTATTTGCTGATTTAATCCCATAAGATTTAAATTTAAAGTACTTTATGATTCTGGCCCTACTGACCTTATAAAACCCTCGGAAGGTCCTGGGTAAGTACTGCTTACTAGAAATCATTAACACTAGAAGTAGTCCACATCAGTGAGCTTTTCGAATTTTACAATATTCGTGTAGATTTTACTGCTTGAGCAACCTTAACTCAAAACTTAAAACTTGAGCATCATGTTAGCATTAAAAAAGCTTTAGATATCAGAATATTTTAGATTTGGGGTTTTCAGATTAGGGATGATCGAATTTGATGTACAATTTGATGAATTGCATCAAATCAATTTGCATTTTTATTGGATAATTTATCTGCTATGACTACATAAACATAGGAAAACACAGTATACTGGTTTTGAGGCAAAGTCTAAGGCTTACATTTGGTGTTCAGTCACTAGACTGCTTACAGAAACATGAATTAAAGAATTACAACAAATTGCACATTCTGATATTTTGGCTACTTTATACTCCTGGATGACTCTATATATTAAAGAGTAAAATAAACAATGAAAAACAAACACAGTGACAAAGGTTCGCACACATTCCGCTCTTCTCACACTGGATCACTGACTTATACCTTCTCACAGAGTCTTGCTTGGGCTTCAAGTTCCAGGTGTCTCATTTCCAGGTCCTTGGCTGCGCTAGCAATTTCTTGATCTCTCATTTTTACCTATGGCCGAACAAATCGTGAATACCAAAGAGAATTTACAAAGAAACTTTTTTTTTTTGGCGGAACCGGAGATTGAACTCAGACCCTGGCTGAGCTATCTCCCCAGCCCCAAGAGATTTTAATGACTTTAGTAATCTCAGGATCTGAACACCCACTAGCAGTATTTACATTAAAAGGGATTGGGTTTTTGAAACTAGATTAACTAGTCATGTATTAATTTGCAACATTCACTTAATGTTCTTTAACAGAAATTTGTGTTTTTGCAGATCTGATTAACAGCTAATAACTCTCGTATAAAAGCTACTGTGTACTTTGAAACTATGTGCTCTGCTCAGGTTTAATATAGAATTCACTGTTCTCCAAAATTTAACTGTGTGGAAGCTTTTCATTCCTATAGTACTAGATAAGAGTGTGTGGACAAAGTACTCTCTAGAGAAGCTTAGAAATCATCTTAAATATATGGTTGCCTAAAGTCATAAATATTTTTCTTTTTTTAAAATGTATTTAGTACAGGGCCTACAGTGTCTCTACACAGATCGGACTCACAGTGATCCTCCTGTTTTCAGCCTCCCAAGAGCTGGGATTACAGGCAACCACACCCAGTCTCAATCAACATCTCAGCGTGCCCCGGGGGCGGGACTGGCATGGCATGCTGGGGATCGAACCCGGCTGCTGCGCTCTGCCTAAGCAGGTGCTTTAGTCCACTGAGCTATCTGGTCAGCCCGAAAGTCATAAATATTTTAAAGGATGAGGGACAAGTACATATTTGTTGAGAGAAAACAAAACAAACAAGCAGGCAAACAAAACTCTACAGCTTTCTATCCCTGTTAATGTGTGCAAGTATTCAGCATCCATTTAGTGGCTGCATTATGACCTGCATCTCAAGGTAGGATGGCCACTGCTGAGTAGAAGACATACTCTCCGTAACATGGGGAGCAGTAAATGAGAACTGAGTGGGATGTCCACACAGACGCACGGGCTGAAAGGAACACAGCTGCTCAGCTGCTCTGGAGGCGACCGGGAAAGTCGGCGGCTCGCAAGGCTGGAGTCTACGAACAAGAGCAGTGACAGTGCTAAGAGGTGGAGGGAAGGTCTGGCACAGCATATGCTGTTAAGGAATTGCGGTTACAGAATGCTTCTGCATACGCATCTTCAGAAACAGACAGCTATGTAACGGCACAAACAAATCAACTAAAAAATAACCAAACCACACCAAAGCCAGATCCACTCTGCTTCCTGCTAACAGATACCCAAAGTCAGTCTACATGGCATTGTGGAGCCAGGTTTTCCTGTTGCAGCCTGAGAAGAGCTTGGGCGGGGGACACAAGGTCAGGGACAGGCGGCTGGAAGGGCAGGCAGAGGCTTTACCACTCCTTTAACTATGATGCATTACCCCATCTTAAAGGGATTTGGAATAAAGACATCCATCAGTCCTGAGCATGTATTATTCGTGGGTTAGCAAATGTACGCCCTCAGAATCAAATGTTAATCTGGAGGGCCGGCCAAATAGCACAGTGGGTTAGCCAGAGGTTCAATCCCCAGGCCTGTTGTGCCAGCCCCGCCCCCTGGAAGCAGAGATGGAGATTGAGACGGGCATGGTGGCTGATGCCTGTGATCCCAGCTCTTGGGAGGCTGTAAACAGGTGGATCACTACCAACCAGTCTGATCTACTAGTGAGACCCTGAACACTCTGTAGGCCCTTCCCTAAAAAAAAAAAAAAAAAAAAAAAAAAATCAAATATTTATCTTATTCACTACACGAGACAAACTATATATTGTAAAAAAAATTAATTTGCTCTAAAAACAAGAAGCATGCTATAAAAGTGGTAACAGTGGCTGGTGGAATAGCTCAGTTGTCTAAAGTGCCTGCTTGGGCAAACTCAGTCAGGCACAGGAGACCACAGTTCAATGCCCAGAGCCACATGCCGCACCAGACCTGCCTAGCCAAAAAAAAAAAAAAAAAAAAAAAAAGAATCCTAAAAGTGGTAATAGTTTCTAATGCAGATGAATTACAAATACTTTATTTCTACTTTTATAATATTATTTTTCCTTCATATTCTGTAAGGACTTAAAGTTCGACATATCTTTTATTTATTTATTGGCGGAACAGGGGATTGAACTCAAGCCCTTGTACTTGCCAGGGAAGCACTTATTCCACTGAGCCATCTC